GAGTTGCAAGTGCGTCGCTGGTCGATACAGTCTGCAGATTCCGCGACAATCGACGAAGTTTCAGGTCTTTGCGACTCGCAGCTCTGCGTTACCCGGCCACTGCGTGTGGAATTAGGTGATTTGTAGATCATCATTGCGGCCGACAGGAGCATGTCCCGTAGATAGCGTGTTACGTATCGAAATGGAAAATGTGGCAAGGCCCAATCCAGTCTAAACTTTTAAATGTCGCTATGCTCTCACGTCGTTGTCGTTCATTCTCCGTAAACAGCCACGGCAGATTCTCCGACGGCCGAGGTGGTAAAACTCACTGTGTGTATGTGTGTGTGTCTCGTGTTGCCTGAGATTCTGTCAAATCTATGTAGGTGTAAGCGTTAGATGTTTCGATGTGTGCTCGATCGCAATGACGATTTGTTAATCGCACCTCCGGCGACTCCGGGCGTACAGCGACAGCTCGAGGCGTAATTATGCGAATTTTCTCTGTTTCTTAACTTCGTTTTTTTTTTTTCTTTCGAAAGAAATTGAGCACTGATGCAGGCGAAAGATCAATGGAAGGAATGGATTAAAAAGTAATTGTTACTCGTTAATTTCGCTGGAGATTGTCACGAGTTTAGTGTTACGTAATTACGCCTCCACGATAATTTCTGCGGTCCTGCGTGCATGCACAAAGCGAATTCTTTTCCCGCGCTGCTCGACGACGGCCCGGTTGCGATTGTTCCGAATACGTATTATAAATCGCGAGACTCTCAGAGCAAAGATGGAAGGGAAACACGAGAGAACGAGAAAGGGTAAAACCTCGTGACAGGTTTTAGTAGACGAAAAGAGACTGGGTAGCAAAGACAAACAAAATATTTTCATCGAAAGCGATTCTGTCCAGCCATTGCCGACTACTGTTCAACTGTAGATGTATTCGTACAAAAAAAAAAAAAAAAAAAGCACAAACACGCAAAAAAGAGAGAATAGAGAAATACCTTACGACGGGCGAAAAGGAGGAAGAGATAAAAATGTATGAATGAGAGAACTCTATATGAAATACATATAAATACGTACGACACGCGCACACGTAAACACGTAACACGTACATGCACAAATAATGCAACACGGGAGGACAAGAAAGAATTATCGTGTGACAAATCATGTATCATGTGGCCGGAGATTCCGGCGAGTGTCGAGCGCGTCGCATTTCGAAATTCCCTCGTCTCGCAAACGCGAGGAATTCGAAGAGGAAAAAAAAAGAAAAAAAGAAAAAAACGTGATCGCGGCAACCACCGATGGTTGTTGTTATTTGTAACGATACAACGCTTATCGAGTATATCTTTACGCAAGAGTATGTATATGGCGACTAAAGGAGTATCTGCACGACAACGGTGGTACATTATCCCTTTTGCACTTCGTATATATATATATATATA